TTCCCTCTACCTTCTGGCAACACTCCTCCTAATGCAGCCCAGGATACCATTAGCCTATGGCAAAGGGGCATTGCTGGCTCATGTCCAATTTCATGTCCACCAGGACTATCAGATCCTTTTCTGCAAAGCTACTTTCTAGCCCGGTGCCCTCAGCATATCTAATGCAGGGGTTTATTCCTCCCCAGTGTTAGGACTTGGGATTTCCTCTTGTTGAATATCATGGGGTTCCTCTAACAACCCATTTCTCCAGGCTGTTGAGGCCTCTCTGGATGACATTGTTTTATCAGCCACTCCTCACAATTTTGTGTCATCAGTAAAACTGCTGAGGGTACACTCTGTGCCATCGTACAGCTCATTAATGAAGATATTAAATACTATTGGATGTTAAATAGGTTGTAAACCAGTATTGACTCTTGAGATATACTGCTATTTACTGGTCTCCAACTAGACTTCATTCCACTGATCACAACTCCCCTGGCTCAGCCATTTGGCTAGTTTTGAATTCATGCCACTGTTCATCCAGCCTATACTTCATCAGCTTCTCTGTAACGGTCTTACGAGACAACGTTGAAAGCTGTAGTGACTTCAAGATAGTCCTCTACTGCTCTCACCTTGTCCACCAACCTAGTGATTTCATCTTAAAATGTTATCACATTCGTCAAGCATGACTTTGTGAATCTATGCTGATGACTCCAAATGGTAAGGTTGCCTTGCCTGTAGTTCCCTGGGTCCTCGTTCTTGCCTGTTCTGAAGACAGAAGTGATATTTGCTTTCCTCCAGTTCTCAGGATTTTCCCCAAGTGCCATGATTTTTCAAAGTTAATGGCCTCCCACTGACTTTAATCAGATCCCTCAACACTCCCAGGTACATCCCATCAGTGTCTATGTATATCCAGCTTGCTGGATGAGAGCAGCATGAACCATGGGCACATGTGCCAGAAAAGAGAACATACTGTGTGACAGTATTTAAAAAAAAGACTTGCAGTTCTCAGAGAATTTTTTGTTTTCACTTTAAAATATGTGGAAATGGTCTCATAACCTGTGTATGAACAGAAGAGAGAGATAGATAGCAATCTGTTATCTTCTTTCTGTGGCACCTGCTGGCCATGATGTGGCTTCATAACATTACCAACAATTTTCATTTTCTCTATACAGGGTAGCACAGGTTTGAATGGCACAAAGGTGAGTTGGCAAAAGTTAAGGAGAGTGAAGAGGAAAGAAAAGTTAGAATGAATAAGCAACATAAATCAGAAAATAGGAAAAAAGAAGAAAGAAAAAAACAAGAAAAGCAACTTAAACAAAACCAACCCCCACAACCAAACAGAAAAGCAAGCTTTCCTCTCACTCTGCCTAGGAAGAGCAGAATCCTGGTTCTGTTCCAGGTGAAAGAATGTTATTATCTTGACAGCAGGATTACTAAAACCAGTGCACAGACAAGTCAGAGAGAGCAAGCTCACTGGGAGACACATAGCTCAGTAAAACAGTGGTGTTCACCTGTGTGTGACAGACAACTCCAGCACAGGCCCCTGTTGCAGGGTCTTTTTTCAATATGAGCATAGGTCAAAGCAGTTTCTGGAAGCTCTGAGATACTGCTAAGGGTTAAGTGCATGCTCCATTAAAGAAGGAACATCCCTACTGCCAGTGGAGTGGAAAAGGTAATATAGCATGTCGTCTCTGAGCAGCCTCTGATTGTTGATCTGGTGCCGATGTTCAGGGCAGTCGCTGTCTGTGCAAGTTGACATTGACCAACCTGGCTCTCTGAGACATGAGCACAAAATATCACTCCCTTTCCTCCAGCTTTTCCTTCTCACTCTTGGAAGCCATGCGGAACAGAGTGCTGATCCAGGACTGTGCTCATTTGATGAGTATGAGAAGCATGCATCCTGAATTCACTGAAAGAGATAAAGACCTGCTGCTAGCTTCAGCAATGGCCTTGAGACAACAAATACACAGGAAGGTTGAAGGTGGAAGCTGACAAACTGCGCTCCTCCTGCTAAATCCTCATTATGATGGCATGGCTATATCTAAAGCCAAGCTTCAGCTTCTGATACCATTTCAGCTCAGTGAAATCAAGAGGCCTAACAAACAGTGCTTGTCACTACACCTCTGAATTTTCATAGGGCAAATCGCACCCTACCGCAGTCTACTTCCTACCATCTACAGCTCCTACAAGTGGAAGATCACAACTGGGATAGAAGCAGGAAAGGGACTGGTGTCCTGGGTAATGATCAGGAGAGATGTTTAACAATAGGGATGGAAGAACTTTTACTCTTTCGCTGTGAGTAAAACATTAATGAAAAAAATTCTTAGCAGAGAATATAGCAAACTCGTCTTCTGTGCATACATTTCTTATTAGTGAAGTAGGAGTCTTTCAAACAGCACAGCCAGTGTGCCTCAGTCCTGACATACTGACAAATCTTAACATATATTAAGTGCCCATCATTTTAGCAGCTAAGCAGTATCACATTCCATTTAGCACATACACAGCGTTTTATAGAGCAGAGCACTGTAGAAATCATTTTCCCTTAGGTTTTTCTACATGCTCATTGCAGTGATATGCATCTGATCAATTAAAGCAAAACAGCTTTAGTTAATTAACTCTAAGGGGCTGAGTGGTTCCCTGACTGAAAGTCATAGGAACTGGTTTTGATATTATGAGTGCCACTGATTAACTCTCAGACGCTGGACAATTCACTTCATCTTTCAATGCTTCATCTTTCCCCAGTGCAAAATATAGAGAAATAAAATCTGTTTTCTTTAGTGAAGTGTTTTTGAGAGCTGTGAATGAAAAGAGCTATGCATCATCAATGAATCCTCAAAAAGGCCTGATAGGAGATTTATGGAAATATCACTGTTTTCACTGTGCTCTTGGAAAACTGAGCCATAACCAAGTAGAGAAACAAAGGCCCAAAACTTCGTTGAGAGGTGGCAGTGGGGACAGAATAAGAATTTAGGATTGCCTGACACTTTGATAACTACTTATTCCTCCAGACCAGGCTGACAAGATGGCATCTTTCTCTCATTTTTGCCCATGGCATCCAATTATCCCCCCTCCAGCTACTAGATTGCATGTCTTTGCTTCTGCATTGTTTTGTTTTATTTACCCTGGTCATCCTCTTTCTCAGCAAATCAACACCTCCAACAGCTTTCAACACTCGACAGCCTCTGCACGCTTCTCTTTCAGGTTGCAGATATTCCTGTTCTCTGGGTCAAATTCACTATACAGTGTCATATGACCATACACATCCTTCAGAATATTTTTTCACACTTCCACTGGGCTCAAGATCTTAAATAGTGTTGAGTTTCTGCTAAAAGCTTTGCCTCAGGAAAACTTGGCACTGACATATTTTCTTTCATTCTGTTCCTAATACTTTACCATTACTTAGTTTTATCTTATCCTTTCATTCCACCTAACTCCACATATTTGCAAGTCCCAAAGCTAATACACTAGTTCTGCTGTACCTCAGCCAGAGCAAGGCAAATAATTCACACCTGCTAATTGATTTATTACAGCATATTTTGATATTTGAGGAATGAAAGTTAACAGAACTGAAATTCCTCAGATTATTTCATATTTGAATAAATAGCCTTTAAAAAGAATGTTCTTTGGACTTTCATGTTGATATTGCTACTTTTGGCAAAGAGTAAGTTTGGAGTAGGTAAATAAACACTTCATTATTTCTGTTCTACAACTGATTGACATAAAAGCATTGCTGGCACAAAATTTCCTCTATGTAAACTAAGCATTCAGTTCTGAAAAAAAATGTAAATTATATTTCATTGTGAGTTAAAAACATCACTTGAACATCGACCACCTCTCTTTCCAACTAGTGCCTCAGCTCTCACTCTAGGCAGTAAAAGGACAGAGTAGACTGCAGGCCAGCAGACTACTGATGAAATCAGCAGCTTTGACTATGTTTTGGCTAGAACTTGTTCTCAAATTAGAGTCAAACCTCAAATCCCATTATTCCTTTACCAGATCCAGTTTTTCCCCACTGGCTTCAGGATGCTTATAAAGCTACAGGAATATTTTGTTCTTGGTTTTACTTTGCCATGAGATTCTGACTTCTGCTGGTAGCTCACACATAGCCAGCGACTTGAGCTCAATGTATCCGATATTACAGTCCTTGCAGTAAAATAGGCAGCAAAGTGTGTTTTCTAGGGATTCATCACTAACATGAACATACTATGTCAGTCATTCTTCAAGACAGAAGGAAAAAGCAGCAACACTGTTTTCCTGTACTGTTCCTACCCATTTTTAATGCCTAAAATTTATTGCTTCTTCACTGCAAGAGCGACTCTTGCTTTACATCATCAAAAGTTGGAGGAGTTGTATAACTGAATGAGCATAATGAACTTTCAGGGATTGCTTTTGAAATTATCTCTCACTCTTCTTGAATTTTACATGGTATAAAACATTAAATACTCCAAAGTTGTCAGTCATTACAGTTGTGTAAAACAGATGTTAGTGAAGTAAGAAATTAGTTCTTTCACATAGGTGAAAAATCTCTTGCTAAAAACCCCAAATCTTGAATCACAGAATAATTAGAGCCAGAGTTATGGGTAGACAGCACAAACTTCCTCCCACATTGCTTCCTCTCTCAGTAGTATGTTTCAATCCCACCTACAGGAGGTGGAAAGGGAAACTTTTGACTTCTAGCCTGTCAAGTTTTTCTTTCTTTGTTAAGCCTCATAAGGAGACTACCAACTGCGATACTATTTTTTCCTAAATGGGAGATTTTACCGAAAACAACTGCTGTTAAAGAGTGGATACTACAGAGATTTGAAATGTATGACTTAAAAGAGCAATGAACAGATCAACAGATAAACTGAAAGACACAGTGCAAATTTATGAGACACCGCTAATGCCACATTGCGTACTATAATGGTGGCAGTGTTACCTCAGTTCAAAGTCAAATCAGTAACCTAAGAGTAAAAGACTTTATACCCTGCTTTCTGCTCTCTGTCACCATCAGAGAACCAAACAGCAATTGCATTTACCTGTAGATTAGGACTTCATCATCTGAGCAGTTATACTGAAGCTGGTACATTTTTACCCGAGGGGCTGACTTGCTCACCGTCCACTTGACCAAAGCTGAGGTAGTGGTCACATCTGACACCAGGACAGCCCTTTCTGGTGGGCCTTTTGTTTCCCCACGATTAGACTTGCTGGAACTGGTGATGTCTGAGAGCCTGGATTTTGGTGGGGCTGCTCTGCTTGTACCGTTGCTGAGATGGGGGAGCTGAACAATTGAGAGTTCAATTGTTGCAGTGGACTCTCCAGCAGCATTGGCTGCTATGCATGTGAAAGTCCCATAATCCTTGGAGGTGGTGATGAGGATATCTAAGGTGCCATTGTCATAGACAGCTGTCCTCGAAGAGTTCCCGATGAGACGGTCATCAGGGGCAACCCAATGAATGATGGGGGTGGGATCCCCAATGGCTTTGCATTTCAGTGTGGCAGTCTGCCCTTCTAAAACCAGCAACTTGTGAGTATGTTGTGTAATAAGTGGCGGCTCACAAACAAATTCTTCCTCCCGTACGTACCAGAAGTACCTTCCCTTTAGACCTGGAGGAGAAGCACAAGTTTCCATATCATCATCTCTGTCAAGTCGCCTTAACCACAGTAGCTCACAGTTGCAATGCAGTGGGTTGCCCCCAAAGCTGAGAGACAAAGGTGGAGAAAATGGGGTAACAGCTAATGGAATTACTTGAGATCTGGCAAATATAGGGTCAGGGGGCAGTTTCTGAAGTCTGTTGGATGTTAGATCCAATCTAGCCAATTTCTGAAGATCTGCAAACGTCCCCTCTGTAATATAATCTATCAGGTTATGATCTAAACTGAGCTGGTGCAAGTTTATCATCTTCCTTATAGATTCCCAGGGAATGCTTCGGAGGTTATTGTAGGAAAGGTCTAAGTCTTCCAAAGTCAGCAAAAAATCTTCAAAGGCTTCATCAGAGATGCTGCTTAGTTGGTTGTTGTTTAAAATCAAATGTTGAAGGTTAATTAAGCCTCTCAAAATATCCTCTCCAATGTCAGGCAGCCTGTTGCTGTCCAGGTGTAATGACCGAAGACTCTCCAAGTCAGTGAAAGAGTAGGGCTGTATGTAACTGATGGTGTTTCTTGATAAAGTAAGGTCAACCAGTCCAGACATATTGGCAAAATCTTGTCGGCTGATATTAATAATAAAGTTGCCCCCAAGTCGGAGTTCAACAGTCCTTCGATCTATGTCTAATGGTACAAATAGGAGACCCTTGGAGGGACACAAAGTCCCCAGTGACTCAGAGAGGTTCTGGCAGACACAATATTTGGGACAAGCATTGACCATGACAGCCATTCCAAACACCAGGATGCTGCAGAGCAATTTTTCCATGGTAAATCACGCAACAGTACCTGCAAGAAATTAAAAGAATTACAAGGAACATCAGCCGTTATGATAAAACTACCTTCCTTCTTACGTTTTACCTAACATCTACCTCCAGAAAGACTTCACAGGTCCTGCTCTCAGGGGTCACACCTAAAGTGATCAGGACTCTGGGACGGGAAGGCTAAGTGTTAGAGCAACATGTTTCTCCATATAATGTATTTCTTTCCAAACAAAACCCCAAAAAACAAACAAACAAAAAAAAACCCAACCCCAAAAAAAGTGGGTTTGGTTCCAAATCTGAATGACAAAGGAATTGTTAGTGCTTATACTTGGTAACATGGTCTTGTTACTACCTATTTTCTAGTTACAGTTTTAGAATTTTTATTGAGTAGCTGGTAGAGGACAAATCCTGCTGTCAGATTGCATGGCTTGCTTAAAACCCGGAAAGATTTCATTTGGAATAATGCCTGCTTCTTTGAGGGTAGAAGTTGTCTTACAGTAATTATATACTGCTGCATAATAATTTGGAATTAGTCTTAGGGTTGAAAGAGCTGATTTTATGGACAAAAATAACTGCATATTTACCTTTCAGTCATGTGGTTATTAATAACCATGTAATTATCTGGCCAGTACTGGGGTGAGTCAGTTCACCTGCACCCCCATAATAACATTCATGGTAGGCAGCATAGGAAGCAGAAACATTTGCATAATCAGCACCTGTATTTACCCTGCACTCAGCAAACCTATGGGAAGGATGACATCATCTAGCTCCAAAGAGAAGGGATGCAGGGGAAACCTGTGCTACCTCAGGCTCCTGGCAAGCTTTCTGATGGCTTCATGCTATAACGCTGCAACCCTTTCTGTTTGTTGTGGTGCCAGCTAAGCTTTCGCCTCTGTCCACAGCCCTGCCCTTGTGTCCTGCCTATTTCTCTTTGCACCTTTTCATCTCCCTTTTCAGCTCTCATGTTTTTTCAACTTAAGCTGTAATGTATGTGTCTTTGAAGTAAACAAAATGTATTTACAGGTTGACTCGGGGGACCAATTTGTGGCTTGGAGAAGTTGCTGCCCTGCTTCAGGCTTGGGAATATCTTACATAGATTTGCTGGCATTCTTCCCACATGTGCAGGACATAGGTAAATTTGTTGTCTTTCCTTCTTTCCCTTTTCCGGACCCTGCTATCAAGGAAGGCTGAGGAATGGGCAGATCATTCTTCTCTAACCCTCATTCTCTGAGGAAAGAAGCAGGTTGACAGCTGTTTTTATGAGGGATCCAAGATGGTGTGCTCTCATCTCCAAGCCTGTCCCTTGTGGCAGTAGTTAACCAGCACAATTCAGGCTAAAATTTCTAACATTGCCATTTTATCTCTATTTAACCCTCCTCATATAACCTTCTTAGTCCTTGGTACATGCCATATACCTTCTCATGCAGTGCTCTTAAGTTTTTGGCACTTGTGTTTCAAGAGCTGTCGTGGCATAATAGGAGATGAGAATGAGATGAGACACCCTCAAGCTTCATCAATTGCCCCTTCAGTGCCTAAGCAGTGGATGGCAGACAGTCACCAGTGCTTAAGCTGGTTCTCTTACTGCTGTACACATGATAGGATCATATACAGTGTCTCATAATGACTCCAGTAATTAGTACTACAAGGCCACTCAAACTTTCGCAAACATATGACTCAAGAAACACATTACACAAAAAAGTCACATTGCAATTATTTACACTTCATCACACAGCTGAAATGACAGTTACACTGATGCATTATAATAATTAAAATAAATTATAAAAATTAGTTATTAATCCCCCAGTAACACACACCAAACACAAACCAAAATCTATAAGTTCAGTAATTTTTTTTTACTTTTAAACAGGTCTTGCTACACCTCCCTGTGATGGGAACAAAACTTATGGCCCTATGTTTGGGGATCTGCCCAAAGCAGGATGATTACCGTCTTGGGTAAGGTGGTCTGGTTTCTCCTCTATAGATTGTCTGATATGACTCAAAGAAGAAGCTGTAGAAATGCAAGATGTTGTAAGTGCTGAACTATACACAGTGTGTTCTTTATGGCAAGGTTTTCTATATGGTATAATGTTAGTAATTATGTACTCATTACTATTTCATAGGAGAGGAAAGGACTGAAGCATCTGTGTTTGCTGAACTCTGCAAAAAAGATGAAAGCCAGATACTTTTAAAAAGGGTGGCTTGAGAAGAGTAATATTACCTTCAATAGCAAATAAAAGGCTACTGAATAAAATGTTTGGAGATTAGCAAGTATGTTATTGATGTAAATCTGTGGCATACTTAGCAAAGAACTATAAATATCCCTTACATTATTACCAATTGGTAGTTTACTAACAGGCAATTGGCTTTTTGAATCTTAATTATAATTGTCTTCTGCAGCTTTAATTTAGTTTATTTACCCTACCAGCTGAAATGATAAACAAAAAACAGTTTAAAAGGGGGAGAAATAGATGCAGTTAATTAGTAATAAGCCCTTTCATAGCTTTTCCCTCATCCACACTCCCATCCTCTGAATATCTATTCAAAAATTTGAATGCACACTTACGAGAGCAGTGTCTCCTTTAAGTGTCTCAATTCTCTAACCACTTCTCTGGATGCTGTTAAATATCGCAGTGCTTTGGGGAGATGGTTGACTCTAAGCATCAGAGTAGAAAGCGTTTGTAAAAAAAAATGGGGGGAGGAACAGAAGTTAATTACAGAAAATAGGGACTGCAACACCGAGAGGAGGCTGTGAAGCAGGAGGTCTAAATGGCAAAGTAAACTCTGATGCGGAAACCATCTGTGGATGGCTTGAAAGTGCATCATCTGCCTGCGAGTGCTTGCCTGCGTGCGTAAGAAACAGAGAGCGCAATATGTGTTTTTTACCAGCAGGAGGACAAATCAATAACAACCATACTAGGATGGAAATACCATGGGTGCTGTCATTCCAGCTACTGAATGCATTTGAAAATATTAATGTAAATATTTTTTGTCTGTAGAGGAAATTTCTAGACTTTGTGATCTTCTGCCAACATTGGTGTTTAAAGTTTCTGAGCCTTGAGTTTCTCTACAATGTAACCCTGAAGTGAGCAGTTCACAAGATAGCAAATAGGGTACAAACACAAAGCACTACCTATCGGACATTGGAGAGACCAGAGGAGGATTGGGTTCCTTCACCATCTGGCGTTTCCATAGGGCAGCTGGTTTTCCTTTTTCTCTCCATACAGACAAAGCACCTGGGCCACAGACGAGGTGAGAATTTTGCACAATTATAGTAGTATCTTCTAAAATCGAGGGTTTCCCACAGAGTTCACAGTAGTAGAACTCTGGCAACTAGGTAGATGCTAGTTGCCAAGAGGATGGATGTAAAATAAAAATTGTTTTGATTTCAGTTCTGGTAACTTTCGTACAAGACAGAAAATAAAGTGGCAAGTTTAGGGTCTGGTTTTGCTGACCAGTTTGCTTGCCTTGTTCCCAAAATCTCTTGTGACCTGAAACACCAAGCATTTTATGGGCTGCAAATGATAGTCTTGTGACAAGCTTACCATTCTGATTTACATTTTAAAGGTATGTATCAGCCAGATAAATTAGATTTCTCATAGCAAGTCAGTAAATCTGGCAGAGTTCCTGTGTCAGCCCAAGATGAAAGATTGCTCCTTGAGTCCTCTTATAATATGGAATGTTATGAATTAATATGTGCAAAAGTAATAAACCTTGGTGTTCTGTATTCAGATCTTCCTTATAAAGATACAACTTCTGAGATTTGGTGTCTCATTTCAGCAATGTCTCTGAGGCCTTTTTTAATTCTATATTCATTGAGCTTTGCATATACATTCCAATAACCTTTGCATACCACAGCACCAAGTACAAGGTAACTGTCAGACAAATAAGCTATAGCTGCAGCATACCACCTGTGGAAAATAAAAAACATACACACACACAAAGATTTAAGAGGTGAATAGTGGCACTGATTCTACTGCCTCCAAGTGCTCTGGGACCCAGCTTCCAGGGACTGTATAGGTGAGTTAATATACTTCAGCTTTGTAGGTATTGTGGAGGAATTGGATTTTCTTTCCTGGGAGCTGCACTTTTCCTTTTTCTTAACTTTCTTTTATCTCTGTTTTCAATGAAACCTCAGTGACTGGGAAATCTAGCCCCCAGCTGCAAAGCTTAAAGAACTGAAGGGATGGGTGAAGTGCCATGCATATTCTCTGAAACAGTTTAATTTACAATGTGCAAACTGCATGGGACTATGTCAGGATAAAAATTGCTCCTTAATCCTTTGTATTGCCAAAAACTGTGTGGGAAAGTTTCATGTTCTCAGGCATAAACTACCTAATCCATGCAGGTAGCTTATGCCTAACTCAGCAAGCAATGACAATGGCATAAGGAAAATAAATGTCTCAGCTTCCAAATCTGTTCTCAGCACTACATACATTGAAATATGGGTTGTATGTTAAATCACTTCTATCCCTGTGAGCACCTGGGAGACTGTTCACGTGTTTAAATACAGTTACGTATTTATGTGCTTACAGGCTCAAAGTCAAAGTAACTGACACTACTTTTGTTTTGCCTTTGCCTTTTGTGTTTGCCCAGGCTTCTGCACTTCTTGGAGGTGAAGCTGCTCGTCATCAGGTGTGCATATGTACAGTGTAACTTAGATTTTGGCTAGGCCTTTTTAGGAGCTAGTTGTTTCGAAAACTGTTAATAACTCTAACGTGAAGTGCTTGCTTTCTCCAGCCACCTTACATTTTATAAATCATAGAGGGGGAACATTTAGTGCACATTTCTCCAGGTATTTGTGGTTGTCTTTACTAAGCACCACCCATATTAATTTGACAGATATTGCTTCTACAGTAATAGAAAAAACAGGAAATCTGGTGTGCCCTTTGTACAACTTTTTCTTGAATACTGCATCCATAGCAAGGTCACAACCAAAACCATATTATTACCCCTGTACCATCATGAAGATCATCTGAATGCTGTTCTCCTGTTTTCACCTTTCCAG